TTGCTGGTTTCGTGTTCCCTTATCCATTGGTGGCTTGGTTCCAACCGCCTTCAGACGTATTTCTGATGGCAATTGGGTGCGGAACTTGTGCCAATTCCCGAGCACCGTTTCAACCATTTGTTTGGAGTAAAGCAAGACTTTAAGCACTCGTGGACCACTTCTTTTGTAGTTTGGCGATATGGGTAACCTCGATGTTGAGTTGGCAATTACGTCGTGGAGAGATAGTGCTTCGCGGATATACCGCCACTCTTCCAAGTCATGAGCTTTGACCTGCGACTCTTCCGGTGCCTGTGTTTCGGGGACACCATTGACAAAGATGGATCTTTCATCAGTTTGCTTGCGGTGTTCTCCAGGATTTTGTTTTCGTTGTCGACGCTCACTCCAAGGTATGTCCGGGAATATGCGAACTTCGCATGATGAATCACGAAGACGGTGAGCTGACAAGAGGACTGTCTCTGCTTCGTTACCGGACTGCAATGTCACTTGAAGTACTCTCGGCTCGCCATAGTGAAGTGAGTTGGGGTGGCGGATGATACGACATAAGCTAGCCTGTTTAGGCTGCATTCCAATTGCTCGGCATATGGATTCCCACTGTTTCATGTCGTCCAGTAGTCTATCTTTGATAGAGTTTGCCTTTGACTCAGGCACGTTAGAGCATATTATCTTCATCAAACTCTGCATCTTCTTGGAGTTCGTACATTTGGATACCGGCATGCCTCCTATTACCGGCGGCGTGGGGGGAAATGTTTTCGTGTAAACATTGTTATTAGTGTCGCCTCTAACAACCTTCGGTGTGCTTGCAGACAGGCTGGTTAAATTTGCCACGGGTGGACAATCAGCGACGATATTTGCATAGGTAGTCGGACTACCTGTGTTATTCGGTAAATCGGAATGCACTGGAGTATCATGAGCCACAGCCATACCACTCGGGTAAACCGAACTCTGCAACGTTGGATTCGCCGGGGTTGGCAGTCTTTCATAAACTCTCTGTTTGCAGCCTATCGTGAGTGGGGTTGCGGGATGTATGCTCTCCACTAAACAATCGTTTTGACTGGTTTGTGCCAGGTGTGGGCATACGGTTAGACAACGTGAGTCGAGTGCGGCACCAGCTGGTTGCGATCCACCCGCTGTTTCAGCTGTTGCTAGTCGCACAATTTGGGTTAGTTTGTCACATTTCTCTGTCAGTAGAGCAACACACCTCACGAGCGGGTTGGCCATGCACTCAGCACAGAACCAAATGGAGTCTGATGTGCAAGGTCGTTCCTTCAATTTTGCCACACCCACGCACAGGGGATGAAAGCTCTTTTCACAGATATTACAAGTTATTGCAATACGGATTGTTTTAGAGCACGATTTCAAAGCACAAATCACTTTGGTTTGCTGTTGCGTAAGCCGACGAGCACTTGTTTTCCTTGTAGCTGTACTACGAACCATTGCCGAATTTGGCAGTTTCGTCGTGAATGGCCAATCGATGAGATCTCCACAATTAGCAAGAGATCCTCAATCAAAGTTGCACAAATAGAAAAATACACCAAACGAAATATATTGGTGCACAATTCACACAGAAAGATAACGCAAAACACAGTAATTCCGAAGCAAAAGTGGAACCCAGCACGTGAATCAAAACATCCGCGGCGTCCGTGGGTACATCGAATCTCACAGGATGCATTACGCACCAAGTCGTGCGTCTGAGTAGCGCAAGTTGCACAATGCTTCACGCGATGAGGTGCAGACTAGGGATACTTGAACGATCGATACATTCTAGTCAGTGTTTGAGGATAGAATGTTTCGTGGAAAACTGAGTGCGTGTGGGCTCTGTACCGACCGATGTTTAGCCGCAGCACTGGAGTTACTCTTACGTATAGAGTCCACTGTGGAATAAAAGGTGGACACGCGTTGGCGGACGGATGTACACATGGTGCACAACTGCTGCAATTTCATCGCAGCTATGTCCACATCAAAACAGACGGACTGACGTACAGGTGAGAAGTAAGTTTTCTATGTGCCCGTATTCGTATAAATGGTAATGTTAAAACACAGTGACCGTGCGCACGCCGGTAGATGGGAGACTATCTTCCAAAGAATCACTGTAGGAATAAGCACCAGTTTCAACTAGACTTTTCGCATTAGGAATAATGACGACTTGGTAGTATTTTGGTTTCCTGTTAAGTGAGCCAAGTTCTATCTGGAATTTCTCTTTCCTAAATAACCTACGATCCTTAATGATTACCCGGTTGTTTCAGTTCAGTTTCGTGCAGTTGATATATCATGATCCGGGCACCAAAGTGCTGTGGATGTAGTTGCCATGAATCGCGTCGCCAAAAAGGCAACAATGAAGAATGATAAGTAAACGTGGTTGAACTTAATTATGATATTAGCAGAATGGAAGCAAGAACGAGGTACATGAAGCTAATGGCATTGAAGTTTGAACAGCTACACGCAAGAGAACGAATCCAGTGGCAGCACTTACTCTGACAATGCTCCACGTCCGGTAGAGTATCTAACTATTGGTTTCGACTAGCACGAGGCCCCTGTTTATGAAGACGGCACGTACCTGTTTGACCAATTCTCTCCGTCAGTTGCTTTTACACCTATACCACGTCATCGATTGAAAGCCTCGTGGTTAGGTCCAAATGGGTGCACGGACGGCGCAAAATGCTCGCCGAGAATGGCGGTTATCTGGTGTACGGGTTACATGACCTGACCCCCATTAGCGTCCAACTTCAAGAAACAATGAAGTGCGGCACCGGAGATTTTCCTACGAAAAAAACAACTGGCGGACCTCAACAATGTTTACCCTGTGTTCCCACCAAATGCGTGCAATACTGCGTGAGACCTGATGAGCAAAGACGGCCAAGTGTTTTATGTCTTCCGTACGAACTGATCAAGTCTCAGATGCATACATTAGCACCGGTTTTATCGCAGTTGTTAGCAGAAGTATAGCTTTATCTCGCTGAAACAGCATCCCCGAACGCAATATGAACCTACATTTTAGAGGGTCTTTCCACCAAGTGATCTTCCATCATTTTTTACTCCAATGCAGGAACTTACCTACATCACGTTTACCTCGGAAGCTGTCCTGCGAAAGCTTACGTCTCTGATTAACCACAGCTCCCCCGGTGTCGATATTACTCGCCCAGAATCACTGGGAGCAGTGTCAAGAAAACGGGCAGAACCGTTGGCTCGGTTCTTTCAGCGGTATCACTTCATCATGTACCGTCCGTAGTCATGGAGTCCATCCTTGCCAACACATTGGTGTGCTATCCGGAAAACTGCAACATTATCGCTCTCGAGCCACATAGCTTTCCTCGACAGAGATGGTGCACAACAAATTTACCGATGGGCCAGAGTAGCTGGACCGAGTCGGATGACGGAGGAAAGAACGTCCATCGGGTCTACTATGATTTCTCGTAGGCACTCGACCTCCTAGAGCAACGCATCCTTCTCTTAAAGCTGCATTATATGGCGTCGTTGACACCCTTTTCACCTGGATTGCCAACTTTCTCCTACAACGGTAGCTGGTGGTTGGAGTTCGAAACTGGTTATCCGACCCCAAACATGTCGAATAATATATGCTTCAGGGCCATGATTGTTTTTGGTATTTGCCAACGATCTGGCGCAGACGATAGGTTCAAGTTTTTCAAGTCTGAGGACGACATCAAGATGTAGCGCACTATTCAGTCAGAGGCCGATCTGTATTTGCTGCAGCACTACTTAGACATGGTACAGCATTGGTTAAACAAAAAGCTGTGAAGTTTCGACTTAAGCAAATGCAAGATACTCTCCATACTACACCAGTGTACCTAATTCTACATACTCGGAACACAATTACTGTAGCGATCTTCTGTGGAACGCGACGTAGGCGTGCTGGTTCAGGATGATGTGCGTTGTTCCCAGAAATACGAAAATGCATCGAAAACTGGTAGGCAGCAAGTCGGGTTGCTGAGAAGGGCATTCAGACAATTCGACATTTCCATTTTCCGACACGCTTAGTGCGACCTGATAGTGGTATACTTGATTTCAAACAACCCAAATCATGTGCGCGGAGAGAAGGACTAATGGGTTAAAAACGAGAAGTCCATCTCTTCTTAGAGTAAAATTAGCAACTGCCAAGTTGCTAAGTTGAAGTACCAAGTTGAAGTACCTGCGTGGCCGAGTCTCGGTCATCTGGGTGGATCACCGAGGTAGTAGGGACTAAGCGCATTGACACGGATGGATAAGCTGCACAGTACCCAAACGGAGGCCTCTACTACAAGCACAAAACCCGGTGTGCAATAACACCTTGACCGATAACTAATTTGTATATAAACGACGTATCGGAGTCCCCAAATAGTCTCTCACTTATGGCTCCGGTGTGGATTGCAGAACATTTGCACCAACGGCCCCAATACGTAGGCTCTAATCTACGCATCGGCTACCCCCAAATTATCACGGCTTTCGGAGTGGTGCAGATTGTTGAAGAAGCAGGCATTGCTCATAGAATTAAGTTCGCGTGCAATAGATTCTTGATACATATATTTACAGAAGCATAGTTAGAGGGACATAGATATCATGGAAGGAGATGTTGAAAGTGTCCACCTGCATTCTGACTACAGTACAGAAATCGCTTGATGCAGTTAGCAAGTACTTTCTGCAACGTCACGGTGGTGATGGCGTGGCATTCATTCACAATATTCTGCTGCAATTGCTCGAGGGAAATCGGCTTGTTTCTGTAAACTCTTCGTTTCACATATCCCCAGAGAAAAAATTCCAGCGGGTTTAAATCGGGTGACCGTGGGGCCACTCGATGGGGCCTCCACGACCGATCCAACGTCGGCCGAATTCTTCGCAGAGATATTCTCGCACCGATTGAGCATAATGTGCTGGTGCACCATCATGCTGCAACCATATGGTACTGCGAACTCCATCCGCCTCCAACTGTGGCAGTACGCAAGTCTGGAGCAATTCCTTGTACGACGATGCTAGCAAAAGTAAGGGTTGAGTAATATAAAACAACTTACCGGTCACGTTCCTGGAAAAGAAAAATGGTCCAACGATTTTCTGACCGGTAATTCCAGCCCAGATCATCAGCTTGGCGCTATGCTGAATACGTGACGCTGTGTATCTGCGTGGATTTGAACTAGCCCAGAAATGTTGTTTGTCCGTTCCATGCAAATGGAAAACGGACTCATCCGTAAACATTACGGAGTGAATGCACATGTGATCCAAAAACCAACGGCAAAATGTATTCCGTTTATCCGGATCGTTTGGATTCAATACCTGAACCTGGAGTGTACGAAACCGACGAAGATTGCGTTCTTTCAATGAAAGGTAAACCCGTGAAGTTGGATTGTGTACCTACTGGCCCCAGTGTGTTGAGTTCCGGTCTTTTAGCTGGGTAGATTCACTTATGCTGCATAAATTCTGCTTGTTCCACCGTGCATCTTTGCGTCCCATTGTTAGGACAAACTGCACACACCTCACTGGCGGGTGAATGCGTACCTTGCTGTGACGCTGGTACGTGTTTGATCCAATGCACCTCAAACCGATAACAATCGTTCTCAGGAGTTGAAGTTGTGGGTGAGATCATGAGAATCTCTGGGCGGTATGCCGCTCACCCACAAAATTAGACAAAATGTTTCACGCAAATGACAACATTCTGCACTAATTGCTTGGTGAGTGGGGTTGCGAATTCATACTCGGATCCCAGCTGCGAGCGGGTTAACCGTTGTGACCGCCGTTACAACCATGGGAAGTCTACACACGATACAAGACTGTCTGTTTTTAATAGAAAAAACGAGAACAACCCGGTAACCTGTCAAACCTATTTCAGTGTAGAAACCTTAAAATTTAACATAAAGTGAGGTCGACTGCGCACTCTCAGATTGCTCACTATTACAGAACAGATACATTGGGGTTAACTGCATTCTCCTATTAATACATTTTTGGTGCCATTAATAGTATGTATGATAATGAAGCCCTGATAAAACTATGGTAAATTCCGCATGCTTCACTCTGAAATTGACCGAGAGACTTGGTCAAGCAGGTACGTGCCGTCTTCGTAGATGGGGGCCTCGTGCTAGTCCAAACCAATGGTTAGAGACTCTATCGGACGTGGCGCATTGTCGGAGTCAGTGCTGCCCCTGGATTCGTTCTCTTGCGTGTAGCTGTTCATACTTCAATGCGATTAGCTTCATGCACCTCGTTCTTGCTTCCATTCTGCTAATACCATATTTAAGTCTAACCGCATTTACTTATCATTCTTCATTTTTGCCACTCTGGCGACGCGATTCGTGGCAACTGCATCCACAGCACTTTGGTGCCCGGATCATGATATGATCAACTGCACTAAACTGAACTGAAACAACCGGGTAAACTTTAAGTATCGTAGGTTATTTAGGAAAGAGAAATTCCAGATAGAACTTGGCTCACTTAACAGGAAAGCAAAATACTACCAAGTCGTTATTATTCCTAATGTGAAAGGTCTAGTTGAAAGTGGTGCTTTTTTCCTACAGTGCTTCTTTGGAAGCTAGTTTTCAGTCTACCGGCGTGCCCACCGTAACTGTGTTTTAACATTACCTTTGATACAAATACGGGCACATCGAAAACTTATTTCTCACGTGTACGTCAGTCTGTCTACTTCAATGGGAACATAGCTGCGATGAAATAGCAGCAGTTGTGCGTCACGTGTACGTTCTTCCGCCAACGCGATGTCCTTCTTTTACCACAGTAGATCATGTACGTAACGGTAACTTCAGTGCTACGGCTAAACATCGATCAATACAGAGCCCACGGGCATCCAGTTTTCCGCGAAACATTCTGTCCTCAAACACTGACCAGAATGTATCGATCGTTCAAGTATCCCTAGTCTGTGCCTCATCGCGTGAACCGCTGTGCAAGTTGAGGTACGCAGACGCCGTACTTGGTGCGTAGTTCATCGTGTGAGATCCGATTGGATCTCCGGACTGCCGTTAGAATTCCTCGGGGTTTTCTCAGGGCTCGCAATGTGTGGCAATTTACGGTGTGTCCATGATAATCGGTAGACATCCTGGCGACACCGTAGGCTGGTCCACGTAAGTAGATGACACATTTTGAAAGCGAGGACGTAGCCTTTAACAAATTCAGGACAGAAACCAGTCAGCATCGAGTGGTTTGATGTTCCAATTTATGACAGCATTTATGTTTTCATACTAGCCATGCTGTTCTTCCGTAGCATTATTTGGCCTCGTTCAGAAGGACTACTTGATTGCATCATCGAAAAATCGTACCCGTGGACGCGATGGCTTACCCAAATAAGTGCTAACGTAATCGTTACCAAGCACTTTATCCATTCATTTTAGGATGCTGATTGACTGTACAGCATCATTGCAGGCATGAGCATTGGGCTGCAGAGAGGATTGTGACGAGCTGTGATGAGTGGCGTGCACCATGATTCATTTGTTTACTCTGGGTCTCATCAGAGCTACTCACATCAGGCAAGTCAATGGTCAGATTTCAGCCGGAACAATGGGGGCAGTCTATGGTCTTCCACCCAAACCTTTGTCAAGGAAGACAATAGTGCGCGAAATACAAGCGTAAGTTGGTTGGCACAAATCATGATTGTGGGGAAATTTGGGAACAAAAGTGTTACTCATTAAATGTTTTGTGCATTTCACCATCTTAACTTCCGTTCACAATTACTATCACAATGATATGATTCCAGAGGACAACATCTATAACATTTTAACACAAGGACAATATATATATATATATATATATATATATATATATATATATATATATATATATATGATTGGCGGCATCCGGTTTCCGATTTGCCTGTCACTGTGGACAGCCACAGGACGCCTGCGACTACAGAGAGACCATGGATGGCTTGCGCTGCACCACCGACACACCCCATATCCAGTGTAAACCCGAAGGAATAAGACCGTGAGGCATGCGGATGGGAGCCACGTTTCATCAACGGAGCCGGCTCACACTCCTTCACAGGCAAACACAACCACGCTGTATTTGGGAAATCAAGCGCACACAAGGCGGTGGCTGGACCGTAGTCCGCTCCACACTGAGTGCATGGAGCCGCTCTTCGAGCCTAGCACGGCCACAAGGACCGTGCACCCCGTCCCCTCCAGCAACAACCAATTGTCGCCTGGAGCCAATATGGATGAGGTAGTGACTAGCAGACAGGTAGGTACCTTGTCAACATGCACAGCAAGCGCAACCACACCGGGGATATCAAGCAACAGCCAATCACTTGAAACTACAAGATGAAATAAAAAATCCAATAATGCATACAGATACGGTGGCATAACTCAACGTTAAATTAACATATGAAGTAAGTTGATTAGCAACGGATCCGCGATAAGTAAAAGTGTCCACAAGTTACTCAAAGATGCTACAAACGAAAAAATGTTACCGAAGATAAGCGCAAACATCGTAAGCAACGTGGCCAGTGAATAGACTATTCAGGTAGGCAGAACAAACCAAATAAAGTGGAGTGAAATTTAGACAGCTTAAAAAGACCTATTTTAAGTGTAAGTTGGTTTAGCCCAACTACGGTGAAGAAGCATCAAGGATGCAACCTCAGCCTCAGAATGGGGAGCAGAATAAATAAATAAATATATATATATATATATGTTTGTGACTGATGAGAGTAATCAAAAGGTTAACATATCGCAAACTTCCTCTTCTGTCTGCGTTGAACATTTTGTCAAATATCGTGTAGTATGCCCATTTTTATTATATATTGTAAGAAGAGACGCAAGCGGTACGATTAAAGCGAACAATTGTTTTCGATTTATTCATCATCAGGCTTGTCAAATGAACTAAACACCATACTGAAGGGCACATAGTCCTCTTATGCTTGTTTGACTGAATTGAACAGAATAACATATGAATCGGATCGAATGCTCCGCCGAATGCCAATACCACATGCAAGTGATGGTTCACAAAGTGAAGAGAGTGCTGATGATGCGCATGGGAGAGCAAACATCAGTGAAGTACAGAAGAACACCACGGTGTTTAGTTGCGTTTGACTGTAGTTCCTCTCTATGTAGTGTCAAAGGCGCAACAAGTGGTTATCGTTCGTGCAACTACACTACACTTGAATCCGCCCGGCTCATTCCAAACGATGAGTCTACTCTAGAGAGGTTATTCAGGATAAACTGGGCCACATTAACATCGTTAACCATTAAGGTCATATCATCCGCATAATCAAGGTCAACTAGTATTTCCAAAGTAGTACCTCAGCTCGTACATCGCGAGGTTCTCCGTGGGAATACTCCGTGCTACAGTCCACAAGGAATATGAAAAATCATGAGGAAGTTGGAGAGGACTGACGAGCAGCAGTTGTTGTCTGGGAAGGCATCCGACAAATCACTGTAGCCCCTAACGCGACCTGTGATTTTCGAGTACATAGCATGTAAAATGCTCACATATTTCATAGGAGCACTTTGTCGCGTAAGTATTTCGAATAGCATGGATCGATCGACTGAATCGAACGAACCATTGCTTTCGAGGTACACATCAGTCGGTTTGAAGTTGCTTTAGCAGCTGTCCCAAAGTGAACATGGTCTAATACAGACCGGTCCAGGGAGGAAACCTGCTGTTCTTCTCTCATTTGTAGTTCACGTCCCACACTGAGGCAACGGGCGAGAATTGTAGCCAGCAATGTTGTCACCATCGGCGTTAGACTAATACCCGTGTGGGTAGCACGGTCGGTGCGACTGCCTTTATTGTACAGCGCTCATTTATGAAGCGCCCAAGGAGAAACTGGTAATTTTACTTAATATAACCGCTGCGGTGAGATGAACATAGAACGTCCTGGTTATGGAGACTAATACTCAACCTTTCTTGTTGTGTTCTAGGATGCACAAACGTGTTTTTACCTCAGATATCGAGGTGGTTCTTCACCTTACCTTAGATAAAATGTAAGGAAAATACGTAACACGTTACAAATGGACCATACACAAATCTGCTAAATATCCTATTTCTTTCCTAACTGCTATGCAGTTACGTTAGACAAGTTATCGCAGAATCTGAGAAGGTACGCTTCAAAGGGGCTTTCCGCACACTAGTAAACAGAGAATTGACGATAAATAAAGGTAGACACATGATCAACACAGACTTGAGTTTTGTACTGTATTGTCTTAGCAAGAGTCAAGTGCCATACAGTACGTAACAAAATGCCTTGATTTGAACTCAACCCGCCGCTATCACTTCTT